TAAATCAAATAATAAAAAAATTCAGTGCCGCTGGAAAGATCATAATACGCAACTTCTTTTTTATCGGCAACAAAAGAAATATTAATAGAATTAATAGAAAAGAAGAAAAGTACAAGAGAAAAGGAAAACAAGGAGTCCTTCACAGAAAGAAAAAACAAAATAAAAAACAACCAAAGTCTCATACTACATATCACATACTGCCATCATATCTCTAGAAATTAAAAGAAAAGAAAAGAAAAAAAAAAGAAAAAGAGGTGGAATTCCTCTTTGGTACTGAACTTCAAAAATTAAATGAACTACAAGGACAAAATTAAGGCTAAATGGAGACGTATATGCAAATTATAAACCTCCATTTAATAAAATAATTACGGTACCACAAGGTGATACTATTATAAAAATCTTAATAATTCCAATTTCCAGTTGACAAAATTCTTGTTTAAATTACTGCCGGTCTACAATAACTATATCAACTCAGCCTATAAGAGAGCATGAGACTGAGTTATGACTTACAAATATTATTTTGAGGAGGATTATAGCTGACAACAATAATTATGGTGGTGATGGTCGAGTTAGACATGGACTTGAAGACAATGGTTAACCTCAGTCACTTCACTAAACAGAAAAATTTTGCTGGATCTAACGTAATTCATTAATAAACAGTATATTTTTCCTCAAGCTTTTCTCGTCTTTTCTTCGCATTGTTATTAAGAGCATCATGCATCACATTAAACTCTTCACGTACCAATGCAGTGAGGCTCTGTAGCATTTATGTACCAATTGGGCAACAAGACACATGGTGCCCTCTAGTTATAGCAATTTGCGTGCAACTGTTAGTTGCAAATGGTAAAGGTCATGCAATCGCGGGAAAGAAAATAAAAACAGATGTAAGAAGAACATAAGATTATTCAAAAAGTGAAGAATGCGTCTTGCAAACAAAGATCGTTTTCTAAATGATTGTAGAGTTATAAAGACAGCATTAAAACTGAAGCAGTAAACTGAAAAAAGATTCCAGATTCACTCATATGCACTAGAAATAAGGGACCCAAATTCAGATATAGACTTTCAAAGAAGACAGATAGTAGATTTCCTACACACAAAAGACAACTTTCAGCTCCAATTCTTCTATTTTGCCTAAAATTTCAACACACTGAAAATTCATCAACAAATGAACCAAAAATAAAACAATAAATGATAATCGCCAAAAATTAAAATTGGTTGATCTCTCATAACCTTTACATATCATTGGTCTTATAACATGTTTATTTTGTTTAAGTTTGATCTCTTATAACCTTTACAAGTGTTACCAAACGGCACCTACCTTTTTAAATTTATCCTGAACAGGTTTTATCTGTTCAAATTTGTCTGAACAGGTTTTTACATGTTCAACTTTGTCGCGAACAAGTTTTATACCTGTTGAATTCTATTCTAAAAAGCCACCGTTCTCCTATAAATAGTCAATCCCTCATTTGGATTTTGCAATCAATTTTTCCGTTCTTGCTTTTGCTATTACTTTCTACATTCTGCTGCTTTTGTGTTTCTGTGAAAAAGAGCACATACACAACGTGTGTTCGTTGTACGAACAATTTGTAGTGTTGCTACTGTTTGTTGTAGATTATTTCATCTTGAGAGATAGACGTCCATAATCTGTGAGCACCCTAGAGAGGACGAATCTGTCTTAAGTAGACAATGTAAAACATTGGACTTGGTCATTCTTAAAAAAATATTTTTTGTAAGTATTTTCCTATTCTTATTTTGTTTCCTTCCTCCTACTCTATTTCTAATTTCTATTTTGTTTTTGTAATTAAACAAATTCTGAAAAATTTTTCTTTTAAATTTATTTATTTCTGTGTTTTGTTTTGTTGTTGAGTACATAAACAGAAAATTAAATTAACACAATGAAGATTGTCTAACAATAAATAGGGAGAGGTAGGAGGGAGTTCTGTGGGGAAATTACAGTGTACAAGAGTGTGAGCAAGAGTTGAGTGAGATTAGTGTCTCTTCCTCCTCCATTGTTGTAATTTTATATTTTTCTCTATATAGTGAAATCCGTTGCCTGTGAACGTAGGCGATTCACTAAACCATGTAAATATTTATATGTTCTTGTTTGGGTGCTTGTGTGCGGTTGTTATCTGACTCCTAGGCATGACAACAAGCACTTTTTTATTTCTTGTGTATCTACCGAACCAAAATGAAGGTATAATATAAGATACTGTCAATGAATAAGTGTGTGAGTGTGATGCTATTAGGCTTGATTGTAACATACATGACAAGATGATACAACATAAATCAAATAATAAAAAAATTCAGTGCCGCTGGAAAGATCATAATACGCAACTTCTTTTTTATCGGCAACAAAAGAAATATTAATAGAATTAATAGAAAAGAAGAAAAGTACAAGAGAAAAGGAAAACAAGGAGTCCTTCACAGAAAGAAAAAACAAAATAAAAAACAACCAAAGTCTCATACTACATATCACATACTGCCATCATATCTCTAGAAATTAAAAGAAAAGAAAAGAAAAAAAAAAGAAAAAGAGGTGGAATTCCTCTTTGGTACTGAACTTCAAAAATTAAATGAACTACAAGGACAAAATTAAGGCTAAATGGAGACGCATATGCAAATTATAAACCTCCATTTAATAAAATAATTACGGTACCACAAGGTGATACTATTATAAAAATCTTAATAATTCCAATTTCCAGTTGACAAAATTCTTGTTTAAATTACTGCCGGTCTACAATAACTATATCAACTCAGCCTATAAGAGAGCATGAGACTGACAAATATTATTTTGAAGAGGATTATAGCTGACAACAATAATTATGGTGGTGACGGTCAAGTTAGACATGGACTTGAAGACAATGGTTAACCTCAGTCACTTCACTAAACAGAAAAATTTTGCTGGATCTAACGTAATTCATTAATAAACAGTATATTTTCCCTCAAGCTTTTCTCGTCTTTTCTTCGCATTGTTGTTAAGAGCATCATGCATCACATTAAACTCTTCACGTACCAATGCAGTGAGGCTCTGTAGCATTTATGTACCAATTGGGCTACAAGACACATGGTGCCCTTTAGTTATAGCAATTTGCATGCAACTGTTAGTTGCAAATGATAAAGGTCATGCAATCACGGGAAAGAAAATAAAAACAGATGAAAGAAGAACATAAGCTTGTTCAAAAAGTAAAGAATGCGCCTTGCAATCAAAGATCGATTTCTAAATGATTGTAGAGTTATAAAGACAGCATTAAAACTGAAGCAGTAAACTGAAAAAAGATTCCAGATTCACTCATATGCACTAGAAATAAGGGACCCAAATTCAGATATAGACTTTCAAAGAAGACAGATAGTAGATTTCCTACACACAAAAGACAACTTTCAGCTCCAATTCTTCTATTTTGCCTAAAATTTCAACCCACTGAAAATTCATCAACAAATGAACCAAAAATAAAACAATAAATGATAATCGCCAAAAATTAAAATTGGTTGATCTCTCATAACCTTTACATATCATTGGTCTTATAACATATTTATTTTGTTTAAGTTTGATCTCTTATAACCTTTACACATCATTAGCCTTATAACATGTTTATTTTGTTTAATTTTTTTGGTTGATTCTCTACTCTTTCTGTTTTATATAAATCTCACCCACCAAAAAAGAAAAAAATCATGTGGTGCAGTGGGATTGCAGTTGGTGAGGGAAGGAGAAGGGTGTTGCCCCGACAGGCAAAGGGAGGACAGAAGTCACCGATCAATTTTTTTATATCAGTGGAATGACATTTTTTTTTTTTTGAGAGCACAATTGGACACATGACAATCTGAGCCATTGAATGAACAAAATGATCATGTAGTGCAATTCTGTCAACTGTACTCACCATCAAGTTTGTTAGTATATTATATGTATTATATATTAGTGCATAATATGTTAGTTGTAAATTACCAAGCTTTAATCATGTTGTTTTCTTAGTGCTTCCTTAGTGCACACTTTCTGCTTTCTTCTTTCGGCCCTCTTTGCCCCTTTGTACACCCTCCCCTCTATAAAAGGGGAGTCATCTTCACATTGTAAAGACACACTTAACAATCAATCAATTGAATACATACAATTTATTCTCTCTGTATTTCTCTCTCTATCAGTTTATCAGCTTGGTAATTTACAGCTAACATATTATGCACTAATATATAATACATATAATATACTAACAGCCCCTCTCAAACTCAAGGAGGATAGGTACTAGCCAACTTGAGTTTGGAGAGAGTAACAAAACAGGAAAATAAAAAAGGATAGGAGACACTGTATGGTCGTGTTGAACCGTTGGTGAAGACACTGTATGGTCGTGTCAGATCGTTGTAGGAGCTAACCGGAATCAATGTCGGGACAGTTTACGGGGTCATGCCTGTTAATATATTATATGTATTATATATTAGTGCATAATATGTTAGCTGTAAATTACCAAGCTTTAATCATGTTGTTTTCTTAGTGCTTCCTTAGTGCACACTTTCTGCTTTCTTTTTTCGGCTCTCTTTGCCCCTTTGTACACTCTCCCCTCTATAAAAGGAGAGTCATCTTCACATTGTAAAGACACACTTAACAATAAATCAATTGAATACATACAATTTATTCTCTCTGTATTTCTCTCTCTATCAATTTATCTTACATGGTATCAAAGCTTGGTAATTTACAGCTAACATATTATGCACTAATATATAATACATACAATATACTAACAGAAATTAGTGCATAATATATTAGCTGTAAATTACCAAGCTTTAATCATGTTGTTTTCTTAGTGCTTCCTTAGTGCACACTTTCTGTTTTCTACTTTCGGCTCTCTTTGCCCCTTTGTACACTCTCCCCTCTATAAAAGGAGAGTCATCTTCACATTGTAAAGACACACTTAATAATCAATCAATTGAATACATACAATTTATTCTCTCTGTATTTCTCTCTCTATCAATTTATCTTACAAAGTTTATACCTAAAACAGTCAAAAGCCAACAAAAAAATAATAATAATAACAATAAATAGAAAAATACAATAATATACAATTAAGGTACTCTCTTGGCACCCTTGCTCTTGTAGCATCTCTAACGCAAAATTTAACATGGCACACACAAATATAGTTTTTTACACATAAAAAGAAGAAAAAAAAACTATCATCATTTCACCCATTTCAGCATGGTTGCAAAATTTTGCAACTTTTAGAACTGTAAGGTGTCAAAATTTGACTATGACATACCATTTTGGCAATTCTAAGTTCCAACACCTTTCATGCTCTTGGATAAGGTGCAAAAGCAGCAACAACAGGACTTCTCACTAATGCTTGCCCTTAACCTCATTCCAGCTCAAATACCCATAATTCACAATAGAATCACTTTGTATTCTGACATCTCCAACTCCAGCATCAACCTCTACTGTCATGCTGAACTTGGCTGTGCTGTATTTTCCGTCAAATGCTATCGTCGGCGGCTCCACAACCACTTTCATGCCCGATGGGGCATTCACCACAGCATGGTAGACCGAGGAACTATTCACTACACTTGTCAACACCCTTTTAAAGGTGTAACTAGTAGTGTTAGTGTTGTTGAGGAGGATCATAAAAGACGGGTAGTTAAGATCAAGACTAGCTTGATCACAACTGAAATTTGATCTCTTGGTGATGATCTTGATCTGTTGGTTTGTGTAATCCATTGCACACAAGTAATTGATGTAGTCTTGAGCCTCCAAGTCATAAACAAGTCCTGGGTCTATGGCTTTGACAGGATCTACGTGCCCTGACCCATAACCAAGTGGAGTCCCAGCTACTCCGGTGGTCATATCAATGATCGTGCCGTTCATGTTGTCGATCACGTAAGCCGTGGTCATCAATGCTGATCTGATGGCAGCCGGACTCCAATCCCTGTGTACCGCTTTTAGTAGTGCTGATATACCAGCTACGTGGGGACACGCCATGGATGTGCCAGAGAGAAGCACGAATTCGCTAAGCAAATAGTCGTAGTCATCTCCAATCGGCGCAATTCCTCTGTTTGGTGCACATGCTGCTAAAATATTAACTCCAGGAGCCAAGATATCAGGTTTCAGTATCCATGGCGATTTACGATCCGGTCCTCGGGAAGAAAAATTTGCCACTATTGGGGCAGGTTTAGTACCCAAAACTGTCTGCTGAAACTTAATACTGACAGTTGTATTCTTGGCTTTGATTAGGTAGTCTTTGATTGAATTTCCGACTTCTTGGATCACTGCCACGTATGGATTGTTGAAATCACTTGGGTAGAGAAACATGGCAGAGTCTGTACTGAAGATTGCTCCTGCAGCTCCAGCTCTGTCTGTTTCAAACGTGTTAAATCCGAATGATTCACTGAAGTCGCAGAACAGGTACTTCCCGGCAACATCTTTAGGGTCAAGAGAATAGTTGTCGCAGATTTCTTTGCTCCTATTTCCATGGCCAAAGTATATAGGGACTCTGGAGACTAACAAGTCTAATGGGTAGACAGATTTTCCGCTGACAGTGAGGTCCCCGTAGTCACCAAGTGTCACTTCGGCAGCATAATCTCGATCAATGGTCCCCGCTCCAATGGTAGTGATCCATGGAGCTCCATTGAGGATGGTAAAACCATGAGGACCACGATTTCCGGCTGCGCATACCACAATGATCCCCTTTTCCATGGCTGTAAAAGCTGCCACTGCAATTGGGTTTTGTTCAAAAGCAGTCTCATTGAAACCCAACGACAATGACATGATATCGACACCATCAGCTATGGCTTGGTCCATGCCGGCTATAGTGTCAGATGCAGCGGCTTCATAAGTGGTGTTGAAGAAAATCACTTTGTACATGGCAAGCCGGGCCTTCGGTGCCATTCCAATCGCGGTTCCCTTGGCATAATTGAAGTAACTGGCGTCCTGCACGGGGCTTCCGGCTGCCGTCGATGATGTATGGGTCCCGTGTCCAAAGAAATCCCTCGGAGAATCGTAGTCGTATGTTTTGGAGATGTTCAAGCCTGCTTCCTTCATCCCTTTACTGAATGAGCGTGCTCCAATGAGTTTCCGGTTACAGTTAGAAGAGTTGAACTCTACACCAGACTCGCAAATACCGCGCCATCTCTCTGGCACGGGGGGCATTTCATCATCTCTGAAACTCTCACTCTCCGGCCAAATTCCAGAGTCAATAACGCCGACGATCATATCATCCCCAAAATTGGCTGCGGGCCATAACCCAACATTTGGTTCCAGGCCGAGAAACTTCGGGGAATGTGTAGTCTGAAGCTTTCCAAAGGTTTCTGGGTACGTGGCAACGTGACCAGGCATTTTCTCCAGCTGATCAAGTTGGGACTGAGACAGCACTGCACTAAAGCCATCCAAGACATGGTTGTAGGTATAAAGATGCGTTGGAAGAACACCATTCGGCGAAGACAGGGATGAGAGAGTTGACATATACCAACTATGATGATCTGGGAAAGGAGAAGGCATAGCTGATTTGTCCACGTGGATGATGTATGTCCTACGATCATCCGCAACAACAGCTGCTGACATGCCAACTAAAAGTAGGAAGAAACAAAGGAGCTTGAAAAAGACAGAGCAATCCATTGTGGAACACTGAAAACAGACAACTGAATTAGTTTAATCAGTCCAATGACAATAAGTTATATATACTGCTCTAGCAACTAAAGTCGAAGCGATCAAACCAACAAACAAATCATAGATATTCAAGATTTTGATAACAGCCGGCTATGGATGCCTTGAGGACGGCTGCAAATACTGCTACATAGTTGTACCCACCCAAAACTAAATCGCACCACAAACCATGCTGAACTACTGCATGATGGTATCAACAGAGTTCTGCTATGCTAAGTGAATATATTCTAGAGAAACTAATATATTAACAAGGACAAGATAAGGAAAGAAAAAATTTATCACATTTCAATAAAGAAATGAAATAAGGACAAGATAAGGAAAGAAAATATTTTATCAGATTTCAATAAAGAAATGAAATAAAGGGGTTCCTTTTACAAACATTTAACTAGGACAGTAAAGAAGCCGAGCCAAGTCAAATTTTAGTATATTTGGCTTGTTTATTAAGATTTTAGTGACTTGGAACTTGAGCTCAATAAAAATTTAACGAATCAAGCTCGAGCTGAGTTGGCTTAGACTTAACTCGAGTTCGAGCCTGTTCATGAGTTTTAATGAGTTCAAAAATTTATAAATTTATACTTGCGTATGAGACTAAAGTTGCAATGAAAATTTTGATTATACAATTATATATACAATATATATACATATTCTAAAAAAAAAAGTCAATATTTTATTAAAATAATAATATCTACTACCACTATTATATAAATGTATTATTTATAGTTAACTCTTATTTATATTTATATTTTTCAAATATATAAATAACATATTTATCTTATTTTTTATACATATTTTTACATTATTTAATATATAGATAATAAATATTAAACGAGTCAACTAACGAGCCGAGCTTATGAGCCGAACTTTAGAATGTTTAGGCTTATTTATTAAAAATTTAACGAGTTCGAGCTCGAGCTCGAACGCAAAAAAAAAATTAACGAACCGAGTTTGAACGAGCCGAGCTCAAGCCTATTCATAAACGAGTCTGTTTATTTGCTGTCCTATTTAAGACAATAAGAAAATAAGAGGATGATAAATTGGAAGGGAACTGACTCAAAATATACTGACTTCCTTGGCCCTCTCCCTCTTCTTGAAACTACCGATCCCTTTGTTCCAACTGAAAACACCTTCTAAGAAAAAATATTTCTGTCGTAAACATTTTGATTAGGGGTGGAACAAGAATTTTGTTCAGGAGAGGCCAATATATATGCATAAAAAATATTGAGTTAGTTTTGATACATTTGCAACTGAATATAACCGCTTATATAAATGTTGTGAAAGAAGTATTTCATAAAAAAATTATATAAATCTAATAAAAAGTTTTTTTTTAATTTTCAAAATTTTGAACTGTTAGATCCAAGTATACAATCGGTCAAACCACTATTTTAAGTTATTTATTGATTAATATAATTTAGTATTTTAGCCACAAAAAACAAAATAGGTTATTTTAGTCAAAAAAAAAAATAAAAATAAAACATCACATCCAACCCATAATCATTACACTTTTCTCTCACAAAAAAGGCCAAAAAATCCAAAAAACCAAAAAGTCCTTCCCAAACCAAGCTTTTTAGCCCAAGCTAAAATAACCAAAAAAGCCAAAAAATCAACCCACTTCCCAAACCAACCCTAAGATCTCTAAAACATGACCTTCAAATTTACATTCAATAACATTGAATGTGACCTGTTTGATTATTTAGAGGTCAATTAGTTAAGACTCCAACTCCTGTTATGTTATTGTGAATAAATTTAGGAGTGAAATTTTAGATTGTCTAACGTTACTCATAAAAAGGTATACATACTATTTTATTTTTAAAATAAAAGAATAAGTAGTATGTACCTTTTGTATTAATAAAATTGACTCAATAAAATTAATACTATTGTTTAAAATAAAAAAATATTAGGAATCATTTTCATTATACATTGTTAAATATTAATGAAATAAAAAGTTAGTAAGATAATTTTTATAAAATTAAAAAATCATCCCATTATATATTTTACAAATATTCATAAATAAAAAAGTAATAATAAATTGTAAAAAATCAAAGGGGGCCAAGACCCCTCCAGCCCCTACACGGTTTCGGCCCTGATTTTGATTCAGAATCTTTTTTTTTTTTGATCAGCAAAGAATAATTTTATTGATAAAAGGATAGAAAAGAGGGACTTGACTGAAATGCATCATAGCTCAAAAATACATCCCAACTAGGTTGGCACCTATAATTGAGCCCAATCATATGCAAGCCAAGGCCGATACAAAGGTTGATGAGAACTCAACCAGAACTGGGAATGAAAATAAAAGAACAGAGGACTATATCCTGCAGGAAACTACAATTTGTGGCTCTTCAATCCAACCAAGCAGTACAAGAAATCATGGATTGTGTAGGAAGGCAAATGAGTAGAAAACTTCACCCATGTGGCCACTTTGATCTTGATACTATCCACAATATTCCCCCAAACAGGAACTATAGAGTTAAAAACCATGTTGTTTCTTGCAATCCATAAACTCCAAACCACAGCCAATGGAATTACTTCCCAGATGAGTTTACCCAGGTTTTTGTATTTTTGACCATACCACCATAAAAGCAAGTCTTGTAAGGAACTAGGGGAGACCCATTGGGAGCCCCACCAACAAATAATTTCAGCCCAGACCTTCCAAGCGAAATTACAATGCAGAAGCAGATGCATAGCAGATTCGTTATCAGTACCGCAGAATGCGCATTGATTGATAGCGGGGATAATGAGCCTGCGAGCAAGGAGATCCGAAGAGGCGATTCGATTCCACCAAACGAGCCAACCAAAAGCTTTAATTTTGGGAGGGGCTGCTGATTTCCACATCTTCATAATCGGGAAAGGGGTTAAACGAAGAGAATTTTCAAAAATTCCATAAAGAGATTTAACTGTAAAGGAGCCTGATGGGAAAGGAGTCCATAACAGGTGATCCACACAATTGTTATTAATGCTGAGAGGTTGAGGCAATTTACTAATCAGCTCATGATGCAACTCATCTTCCCAAGCTCTCAGGGTTCTCCTATATGTGATATTCCAATGAGATTGATTACCCGCAGCCTGATACAAATACTGGTGGACGAAAGAATCTTGGTTTGTAGCTAGAGAGAAAAGTCTGGGATATAGGTTGGACAAAGGAGTACACGAGACCCAAGCATCCAACCAAAATTTAATTCTTTTACCATCCCCAAGCTTGAACTGAATGTTTTCCAAAAATAATGCAATTGCTCTAGATCCATACCTTTCCAAAGATGAGATACTTTTCCACACTGCAGATGAAAGTCTGAAGCTTGAGCCATTTGGTAACCAACAATCTTCATTCACATTGTTTTTGGCACAGAGAACTTTCCTCCACAAGGAACTTTTTTCGGTGGCGAATCTCCACCACCATTTGCATAGGAGAGAATCATTGCCTTCCTTAGTCTTTCTGAAGCCCAAACCTCCAAAGAATTTGCTAACAGAGCATGCCTCCCAGTTGAGAAGATGTAATTTCCTTTTGACATCACTATCCCCCCATAAAAAGGATCTCTGATATTTATCAATTAAGTTTGCCACTTGGGTAGGGATTTTGAAAAGGGACATATAATAGATTGGAAGTGAAGAGAGAACAGATTTAATCAAAGTGATTCGCCCTCCAAGAGAGAGATACCTTTTCTTCCATGAGGCTAGTCTTTTCTTCACTTTGTTAATGATAGGCTCCCAAGTAGACAGTCTTTTTGGGTTGGCCCCTAGAGGCATTCCAAGATAACTGATTGGTAACGAGCTCACCCTGCAGTTAAAGAATTCGGCTACTTGAGAGGTGAAGTCCCTGTTAACCCCAACTCCACAAATTACAGACTTTTGGTAATTGATCTTCAGTCCGGAGATTAATTCGAAGCAACTGAGAATTCTTTTCAGATTAATAATCTCGTCCCAATCTGGATTGCAGAACATAAGAGTGTCATCTGCAAATTGCAGATGTGAAAGGTTCAATCCCGAGCTACCGATATCCACTCCCTTGATAAGATTGAGATTTTTGGCTCTTTGGATGAGAATATTTAGACCTTCAACCACAAGATTAAAGAGAAAGGGGGAGAGAGGGTCACCTTGCCTTAAGCCTCTCTGAGGGGGAAATTCTTGAGAGGGGGAGCCATTCACCAAAACAGAAATATGAGGGGAAGAAACACATTCCTTAATCCAAGAGATCCACTTTGCACCAAAACCGAAATTTTGAAGAATATGAAAAAGAAAGTTCCAATTGACACTATCAAAAGCCTTCTGAAAATCCAATTTGAGAAGAAGCCCACCTGAAGAGTTGCGCTTCCACAAATCAACAACTTCATTGGCGATGAGAATACCATCCAAGATTTGCCTCCCTTTTACAAAAGCTGATTGAGTTTCATCGATCAGATTTGGCAAAACAGATTTCAATCTACTTGATAAAACCTTGGCTAGAACCTTATAGATACAGCCTAGCAAACTGATGGGCCTGTAGTCAGATAAAGAAGATGGGTTTGGAATTTTTGGAATCAAGGTTAAGAAGGTGGAATTCAGGCCTTTCTTAATCCTGCTGTTAAGATGGAATTCATTGAAGAAGAGACAAAGATCTGCTTTTATGAAGGCCCAGCATTTTTTGATAAATTTCATATTGAAGCCATCAGGACCAGGAGCCTTATTACCTTCGCAATGATTTATTGCATCCAGGATCTCAGTCTCAGAAAAAGGTTGCTCTAACAGAGATGCATCCAAATCAGAAAGGGAGCGCTGAAAAGGTTCTGAAAATGTGGGTCTTGAGGGCCACTTTTCGGAGAAGAAATTCTGAAAATGAGACCTAACTGCTCTTTTTATTTGCTCCGGATCTTCTAAGTGAATTCCATTGATGAATAGATTGCCAATAGCATTTTTCCTCTGCCTTGTGCTTGCAATCATATGGAAATATTTGGTGTTTTTATCTCCATTCTTGAACCACACTTGCCTTGATTTTTGCAGCCAAATGCTCTCAATCAGCCTTGAAGTTTTCCAGAATTCGAATTTCAGTTTCCTCTTGTTTGTTGACTCCTCCTCAGATAGAGAACGGGTCTCTTGAAGGAGATCTAGCGAGTGTAATTGATTACCAATGGAATTGAGTTTTTCATTTTGATCACCAAACTCCTCCATATTCCACTGTTTGAGAGCTGATTTCACTTCCTTGAGCTTCATAAAAATTCTGTGCCCAGCCCAGCCAAGGTGAAGACTCTGATTCCATGCGCCTTTGACAACTTTTAGGAAATTAGGATGGGAGGTCCAGGCATTGAGGAATCTGAACGGCTTTGGACCCCAGTCTCTATTATCCACCATGAGGAGAATTGGACAATGATCGGATAATAAGCGTTGAAGACCCCATTGTTTAAAATCGAATCTGTCCAGCCATTGTGAGTGGAGGAGAAACCTGTCTAATCTGCTCCATCTGTCAGCCTCTTGATTATTAGACCAAGTGAAGGATCTGCCTTGCAGGGGGAGGTCTCTAAGCTCCAGATTGGCCACTAGATCACTGAGATGTTTCATACTAGCAGAGATTGTAAGACAGCCTTTTCTTTCCCCAATTCTAATAATTTCATTAAAGTCACCCCCAACACACCATGGTAAATCATAACTAACTCGGAGACTTAATAATTCATCCCATAGAATTTTCCTTGCCCTGGCTTCATTAGGAGCATAAATATTAATCAAAATACATTCAAAGTCCGGAGAGATCGTACCTTTAAGAAGGATGAAGTTCGGTCTCTGAATGCATTCACAAACTGAAAATACTGATTTATCCCAGACGCTAATAATACCGCCCGAAGTTCCCTCGGCCTCCACTGCTGCAAAACCCGGGTCATTGTGGGGCCAAATAGAGTGGATGAGTTGATTTGTGATAGTTGCTACCTTGGTTTCTTGGAGGAGCAGAAAATCAACTTTGTACTGAGAGATAAGATTTTTAACACCTCTTCTTTTCTCCCTTTTCCCTAAGCCCCTTATATTCCAAGAGATAATCTTCATGGAAAAACAATATTAAAGTCCATGGATAGGCCGAGTGGGTAGAGGATTAAATCCTCTCACCTTCTGTATCGTTATGCTGAAGCTCATGTTGGCCATGGAGCTCATTAAGCTTACTAACGACCTCTTCATCTTCTTCATTACTTTTCAGGCCAAGGAGCTTCCCAATTTCCCACACTGCCTGGGCTTCGTTGAGTATAATGCGATTACGATTAGCTATGGCCCCTGAAGAAATTGATAATGAAGTTGTTGCTGCCGCTGATCGGACTGATGCAGCTTTTCCGCCCTTTTTCCTGCCCCCTCTTCTGATGAATTTATTAGCTGATACATTACCAAGCACGTGCTGCAGGAATTTCCTTTTGCTCTTTCTTTTGGAGAGGCCCACTAGCGGTTTAGAGGTTCCACCGACTGGATCAATCCATTGATTCACAGAAGCTCGGGGAGCTGGTTCGAGAGAATCAGTTTCGGAGAGGAATGAGTCTGGGACGATTGACAGAGAACGATTCGCAAGAGAGTCTGGATGGGATGGAGTGGGAGGATGGGGGGATGGAGAACAATGGCAGTGGAGGTGAGGACTGAAGGTAGGAGAATGGGGGTTAGGGATGACTAGAGGAGCATGACTGTGGGTTTGGGAGATAGCTGCAGATTGAACATGGGGTGGGTCCTCCTGTTGGATCATTTTTGTATGTGATGGGCCGGCCAAATTTGAAGAGCTCAATTGGTTAAAATGAGGCTGAAGGTTCGCAACTGATGGGAATAATAAGATTGGAGAGGATGGGCTTAGAGGGAGCAAAGGGTTAAATGGGCTAGAAACAACCTGTTTGAATTTGCAAATAGAGGTGTGGCCCAAGTCCTTAAAATTAGAGCGAGAGGGTTTAACAGCTTCCTTAGCGGCAAGGCTGCTAACAGGAGACGTGCTCTGACAACCCCGTTCCCCGGCATGGCTGCTAACAGTAGGCGTGCTCTGACATCCCCGTTCCCCATTCACAGAGTGTTGTCTCTCATCTGTCGGAACTCTGGCTTGTGAGATCAATTCCTTTCCGTTTGAAAAATGGGTGCCATGCTGTTCGACGCTCATTGGATGTACATTGGCCACATCCACTGGGATAGCCACGTCATCGTCTTCTTTGCCAGAGAGTTCTCCAGCAGCCTTTGGCGTATGAGTGCTTGTAATCTGTTCCTCTGTAACACGGATAGTATGATCATCATGCTTACAAACCAAGGTGATGGCGCGATTAATGACCTCAAGCTGATTTGTAGTAATCAGAACTCTGCCACATTCAAAAGATAGGTGCTTCAACGTTGAGTCATCCACCATGATCACTTCACCCCAAACTCTTCCTATGCTCTTGAATGTGTTGAAATTCCAGAGATTCAATGGAACTCCATAGCAGTTGATCCACACTGTTCTTGAGCTAAGATTGGATAGTTTCCAAAGAGACCATTCTTGTGCATCCTCAAATCTTGAAGTGAACCAGTCCTTGTTTTTGTGGATTCTGTTTCTCATAGCTTCTTGGGAATCAAAAGTTAGAACATATGATTTACCCCCCATAGCGCGCACCTGAATATTCTTGGCATCCTCAGGAGAGAAGGAGCTCAATATGGACTGATCTGCAGTTGGAAGGCTTGCTTTCACCACCACACTCCTATAGAGCCATTCAATATCCGCTTCCGTCGCGTGTACTTTGATTGAAGGTTCAGAAGCAGGTGCCTTATTAGCTTGGTCACTTACTAGAGCATTGCTTTTGACAATGTCCGCATAAGAGGGTTTGTTTAGATTTTGCGCACTTGGCAACTTGAAGGTGTTGGAATAGCGAGCTTCATGAAGATTGGATCTCAATTTATGTTCTGCCTAAATGTGCTCAGGATATGGTGGCCTCTCAAATCTTGCAGGCTTGACAATAAGATGATAATCACCATACCAAGCTCTGTTGAGTTTCCTAACTGCCTCCTCTGCCGAAGCTGGCCTCTCGTAACGGATGAAGCCAAATCTTGAGTTGAATCGCTTGGTTCTTCTATTTGGAATTGAGGCGTGGACTACACTTCCAAATCTTTGAAAAATGCCCTTAAGGGAATTCACCTGCATCTGCTCTGGAATGTTGGCTATGAAGATGATGGGAGATGCTCTAGGTTTTCTATGCTGTCTAGAGACGGTTGTCCAGTCATGGTCGGTATCTCCACTGTTGTGGCCAGCATTGTTGTGGCCAGCATCCATCCTCTGATCTCTGATCCGAAAATATGAACTTGATTGATATTATGCGTTCACACTGATTAAATGGGTTGCTAGTTGTGCCCTCTAGGAATCAAGCCTTGTTTTTCAGAATCTTTGTTATCAACCACATCAAACTGCACAAGTTTCTAGTACTAATATCCCTAGATAACAAAATATAAATTAACCAGCAAAGGCAACAGTCCTAGTAACTAACGCACAGGTTTCTGTAGTATTGATATCCTAGATAACAAAATATAAATTAACATTCAAAGACAACAATCCAAGTAAGCAAGAGCAGTTCAATCATTACAACTGTTAAACATGGACCAACCCCATGCAACCATGCCTCCAGATACAGAATCTGGAGCAAAGGTGTTCAAAACCAATTCGCATAAACAATTTTAGAATCTTGATTTATGTAATAAGAACACAAAAAGTTAAAAGGCATGTTAGTTTGCGTACAGATATTCTTTGGCAGTTGATCTGTTACATAGTCTTACATGGAACTTTTATGGTGTGTTTGGTTGGACGATTTAAGGACGGATTTGGAAAGGAAAATAGAAAAGGTAGGTGAAATGTGAATAAAATATACTTACATTTCATCTAACTTCACACACCTTTTCCCTTTTCCTTTTCAAATCTCTCTCCAAATCTCCTAACCAAATACAGCGTTTAATATTAATCTTCAAAACTGTCAGATGCACAACAAACATTGGTGTTCCTAGCTTTCCTGTCAACTTTTATTAAACTTTGGGGTGAATTATATATATATATACAGAGAGAGAGAGAGAGAGAGAGAGAGAGGAACAGGGTAGCAACAAGGATACCTCAGATGTAAAGATCCTAATTGTGTACCACTTTGTTCGGAGGATTCAGAAGGCAACAGGTTCCTGCAGATGGCCAAGAGAAGGAACTATAAGTAAACAAAGTACTTAAAATATTGTATTGTAGTATAAACCAGCTATATGGCCCAAAATGCGAAGCAAAAGGAAAGAAAGAAAGAGACAAAGAAACACTCTGTGTACTTGAGCAGTTTAACATTACTAGTTATATCCAAGTGGTCAGCATAACTAAAATTCCGATGGCAATTTTTCCTACAGCCAATAGTATTGAACATATAGCAAAACAAGATGGTCAAGCCAACCTCTACACCGAAGGTAATAAAGTAGATATGCATCCTCAGAAGATAAATTATAACGAACTTAAAACTAACATGAACCAAAATCTTTTTGTCTCCTGCAAACAGTGACAATTTTTTGTTTTTTTATTAGAGAGAGAGAGAGAGAGAGAGAGAGAGAGAAGATATTTTTGCATGACAGTCTTCGCAAAATATCATGAGTCAATAGGGTGTACTAAAACCAGATTGATGTCCACCAGAGAGAGCATCCGGGCAACCAGACACAAAGGGAGTGGGGACAGAATGGGATGGGAAGTAACAGCTTCAAATATGCACAAGGCATAAGCTTGGACATTTATACACCCTATCTATTCCACTTTAGTAGTGGCTGTAAGCATGAAAAAGAAGGGGGAAAAAATCTTCATAAAACGACCAAATATGTAGGAAAGAAAGGATTGCACCGGATAAGATGCAAAGCAATGAGAAAGCATTGTTAATGACTCTTCAAATTCGTAGCGTAGTATTTCCTCATACATTAAATAAACTAGTGAGCAAAAATAATTAAAATATTAAAGCTATGTTTAATATTACTATTACTTAGTAAATAATTGAAAATGATAAAATAGTTATTTGAGCATTTATCCTTCTCCATAATATCCAAAACAAACATTGGATAACTAAAAATAGTCCAATCCAGATATCTAATCCCATGACTAAACAAATATAGAATACAAATTTAGTTCAACCAAATAGTCTCGGGACAATGTATCTTAGAACTAATCGTCCGATTGATTACAATCCCTCCTTATTCAGTCTGTCCAAACAAACGTACCCTTTGTGTTCTTGAGCAGTTTAACATTACTAGTTATATCCAAGTGGTCAGCATATCTAAAATTCCGAGGGCAATTTTTCCTACAGCCAATAGTATTGAACATATAGCAAAACAAGATGGTCAAGCCAACCTCTACACCGAAGGTAATAAAGTAGATTTGCAACCTCAGAAGATAAATTATAACGAACTTAAAACTAACATGAACCAAAATCTTTTTGTCTCCTGCAAACAGTGACAATTTTTTGTTTTTTTATTAGAGAGAGAGAGAGAGAGAGAGAGAGAGAGAAGATATTTTTGCATGACAGTCTTCGCAAAATATCATGAGTCAATAGGGTGTACTAAAACCAGATTGATGTCCACCAGAGAGAGCATCCGGGCAACCAGACACAAAGGGAGTGGGGACAGAATGGGATGGGAAGTAACAGCTTCAAATATGCACAAGGCATAAGCTTGGACATTTATACACCCTATCTATTCCACTTTAGTAGTGGCTGTAAGCATGAAAAAGAAGGGGGAAAAAATCTTCATAAAACGACCAAATATGTAGGAAAGAAAGGATTGCATCGGATAAGATGCAAAGCGATGAGAAAGCATTGTTAATGACTCTTCAAATTCGTAGCATAGTATTTCCTCATGCATTAAATAAACTAGTGAGCTTCCAACAAAGGATAACTCCACAGCACTACTATAGTCTGACCATTAACATAATCAAATTCTTGAAAGATGAATATTCTTGCACATATATTACCAATGCGCCTTCCAAGAGTGACAACTTCAAGTCAACATCTCTTATTCTATGGGGGGCATGTTACTTTGTCTCAGAGTAACATATTACTTTGTTTGACAGTTACTCTGTCTTGCAGTAATAACATATTACTCTAGTTCACAGTAAAATGTTACTCTGGTAATATTGTAACAACCCCGACTTCTGATTAACGTTAATCTATGATTAATTATGCATAATAAGTAATTAAGAAGAAATCCTGAGTTAATTGCATGTATTATGTGCTATATAAGTTTCTATATGTCTAACGTAGGAATATATGTTTCTGTTTTTATTTTGTACTGTGAATTGAAGGCCTTATCGGCATCCGATTGCGAAATTGACTTGGTGTATGTGTTATTTGGAATTTTTAGAACATTATGGTAGGTTCAATTGAAATTCGATTCGGAACTAATCAAATTAGAATAATTGATGTCAATAACCTAGCTTAAGTTGAGATTAATTAAATGTCCTAAGCAAGCCTACATAAGGCCTATACACACTACTTGAGCCACCTTTTTCTCATCATCCTTGAGCCTTCAAGAGACAAACATGGGAGAGGGAGAGATAAGAGAGATTGTGCTCAATCAAAGAATTTGCTAGGAATTGAAGGAATTGAACTTAGAGCAACAAGAATCAAGCTTCTAGCTCTCACATTGACAAGCTAAGGTAAGAATTTAAGCCTTTGATCTTGTTCTTGAGTTGGTGAATTTATGAATTCAAGAGAATTGAGTGGTTTATTATGAGAAGTGGACTAGAATGAAGGAACATAGATCATACCATGCTAATGTTCATTTGAGCACAATTTGAGGTTGTTTTCAAAGAATCTCCTCTTGCATGTCCTTACCTTGATCTTATTCTAAGAATTCAACATATTTTTGAGTTAGACACCTCATTAGATTATGTTTTGAAAGCTTGGACCTTGCACCTTTACATGCATGATACATCATGTTATGTTTTCAAAGATTTGGGTTTTGTTTTGGATAATTGGCAAGCTTTTAGGCCTTGATTTTGTGAAATGATTTCGAATTCACCATAGTTTCACCACACAAGTGTTTCCTATAGTTTCCTCAATTTTTTTTTCCCAAAAGACCATGTTTTACAACTTTGAATTTGAGTTTTGAGCTAAGAAGAGCAATCTGGAAATTCCAGAATTCTGCTCTCCGCTCGAGCGGTAGAACCTATGCTCAAGCGACTACTCTGTGATCTTGCACTTCTGCTCGAGCGACCGGAAGTCTGCTCAAGCGTGAAATGCAAGCTCCAAGAAGTTTCATGTTTTTGCAGACCGCTCGAGGGACAAGAGTTGCGCTCAAGCGAGGACCTGAGTCTCATGCTCGAGCGACCGTTGAGAAAAAAAATCACACAACCAGTACTTTTGCAGAGTTTATAGACCGCTCAAGCGATCGAAGATGCGCTCGAGCGATGCTAGTAACGTTGGTTGTGTGTAACTTATGTATGGCGTAAAGGGTGTGTGTTTTAGTGTTTTTGGTGCATGACATGAACGATAAGGGGTGGGTGTTATGTTTGTGAGGCGAATCTGGTTTTTTGACTGTGTTAACTATTGTTTTTTGGTTTTTGTTGGCAGAGTGCAGAAGGGGAAGTAGTCCGTGGACACGTTCATGTGAACGGAGAAAGGCTGATGAAGGTAATGGTTCAAAGGGGAACAACCTGGGTGTGAAAATGCAGGGGCGCATTTTGTTCAAGCAGTCGAAAAGGGTGAGCAATGCGGTTGGACAAAAAGTGGCTGAGGATATAGTAGCACCCCCGCAGCAGACACACGCGCGGATGAACTTTCGTTCCAATGTTGCTGGGATAGTTAAACTTGTGCGTGAGGCAAATTTGAGGGACGCGCACTTGAAACAGTTACGGAAGACACCATTTTGGATTATGATCGAGGCGATACACATGAACAATTTGAACTATAACGAGTTAACATGTTGAATCCCATTAGCCCATAGAGCAGACAAAAAAACCTTATCAATGTGAGGGCAGAAATTTTCCAATAAATCTTGTTCGTCATCCATGTCCGAATCATCACACACCCCCGCTGTGTGACACGGGACAGTCTGCATATTATGAACCGGGCTGCCAGCATTGTCAGCGTCGCGTGACTCTTGTAATCAATCAAGGAGTTTCAACGTACCCCAGGGAAGGTGACAGGCTGCGTGGTTGCGTTGCTGGTATGTGTACATTTGGACAGTAGTTAGTTGTTGAATGTATGGAATTTTTTTGTTTTCATTTTTTCAATCAATAAATGCCTGATTTGTTGTTTTCTGTTTTGTTGTTCATGTAGTATTGGTTTTGTGAACATTCGAACATAGTGGGGCCTCAAACCGACAACATGTTTCCGAGGTTCCTCAAATGGGACATTGGGGCATTAATGAATAAAATTCAAGGGGTGGATTTGGCCGGTCCAATTGGTTTTCAGGTAACTTGTTGCGTTGAGTTATGCACTTTATTACTAAAGTTTGTACTAGTGTGAATAAGATGTAACTATTATGATGTGTTTTAATTATTTGCAGGTTAAAGTTGACCGTTTGAGGTCTTTTGATTATGAACGTGAAGTTATGGGCACAAACATTCAGACGGAGGAAGATGGTTTCGCAGATATGAATGGCGGAGGTGAGGATTGTGACGGTGTGGACGAGCATTTCATGGCAGAGGGGACGGGAAAGAATGAAAGTGCTGTCCAGGTGGTGCAGGGCCGCAAAATTGATGTGAAACGGTTCACAGAGCATGTGGATCGCAATTCCGGTATTGAAAGGGATAGTAGCCACAAATTAGAAAAGGCACTAATTGCAGTCGCAGAGCTTGAAATGCAAAACCAAAAGAAAGACAAAATGGTGTCGTCGCTTGAAGAAGAAGTTGTTGGTTTGAAGAGGAAGATGGAGTTGCAAGCTGTTAACATAGTAGGGGGATTTGAGTGTGTGGTGAAGATGAAAAACGATGAGTTGAGTAAGTTAAAAAATGAAAATGACGAATTGAGGAAGAGAGTCTTACTGTTGGAGGACCAATTGGAGGACCGTGATGTTCATGACGTAACGCAACGGTTCCGGGAAGGCGTGGATATTGGGAGTAGTGGTGTGGTTAATGTGGGGAAAGATGGATGTGATGGTGTTATGTTCTGTGATGTGTCACCTTTGCGTATATTACCACAGCATGGACACAGTGGTGACGAGGGGGGGTGTACAATGTGGCGGAGTGCAGACTAGGGATGCTTCGTGGTCATTATAGTAGCAGTAGTTCTGCTGCTGAAGCTGAAGGCTTGACTAGTGATGTTGAATGTGTTGCAGGATTGGGTTATGTAAATTCATATGTGCGTAAAATCAAGAACAAAGTTAGAAGGGAGCGAAAAATGCCTGAGTTTGATTACCCACTGCTGGTTGGGCGTACTAAGAAGACTGTCGGGAACAATTGTGACGCAGTGGATGACAGCCAACGTGACGTGCATAATGCAATTATTGACGTCGAAGCGGTGGTGTTACCTGAG